TGATGGACCTGTGTGGAGGCTGCCCCCCCCTTCTATGACAGACCTATAGAGAGGCCGGCCCCTCTTCTATGACAGACCCATGTGGAGGCTGGGCCCCCCCCTTCTATGACAGAACTACAGAGAGGCTGGCCCCCCCTTCTATGATGGACCTGTGTGGAGGCTGCCCCCCCATGACAAACCCATGGGGAGGCTGGCCCCCCTTCTATGACAGATCTGTGTGGAGGCTAACCCCCCTTCTATGACGGACCCACGTGGAGACTGGCCCCTCCAAGCACGTGCCAAGGAAGAGGAAGGGAAGGCCAGGCGTGGCTACTTGTGATCTTTGGGACAGGCCTGTGGAGCAGTCCTTGGAGTGTCCCCACCTGTACCATTTCTGTGTCCCACCTGGCCAGGGGCAGACCCCAAGTGGGCGCTGCCCATGCTTGTATACACATCAGGCAGGCGCAGGCTGTGGGCCACAGGACGGAGGAAGGTGGGGTTGGGGGGCTGCCTGTGACCCCCAAGCCCAAGCGAGCACACAGCCCAGACACAGAAGAGCCTGGCGGCAGGACTCACACCCATGCTCACTGAGAGTAAGGGCAGCAGAGAGAACTTGGAAGGAAGGAGGGGGCTTCAGTCTGAGCCTTTGGGGGCTGCAGGCGGCTTGGTCCTCAGTCTCTGGGCCTCTGTGGCAGCCCTGAAGGGCCCTGACCACGATTTCACTTAGAGAGAAGTGTTCGCCTCATCCTGCTGTCTGTGGTCTGTGGCTCAGGTCATTGGACGGACGCTGCACTCTGGGGAGGGTCCGTGAGCACTCCCCAGGCGGCCTGGCTCAGTTGTCTCCTAGAGACTGCCCCCCCACTGTCCGTGCTGCTCCCCCAGCTGCCCAGGGGCAGGGCCTCCCTCCCCTGACCCAAAGGAGTGGAATATCCTGGGGGCAGGGCCTGGCCCTAGCTCCATCTGTCTGTCTCTGTCCATCCTATAGCTTCACCCATCTCCAATCTGCCGGTCACTTTATTCTCCACCGAGCCAGCCAGGTCTCAAGGCATTCTCTGGTTCGCAGAGTGTTCTCATTACACATTGATTGGATGCGGGCTGGGCACCACGTTGCTTCTTGCTCCCATTGAGGCCCAAGGGGGTCCCTTCCTATTTCCAGGTGACCCCATTTCAGGGTCTCCCCCTGCCTTTTTAGAACCAGCACGGACTGTGCCAAAGATAGCCGACGGCCGTTCTAGGCCACGGGAGCCTTCCCGGTGGGTGTCCCCAGCTCCGTGCTCGCGGTGCGCAGTGGGGGATGACGTAGCAGGCGGTGCCTCACCAGGAGCTGCAGGGAAGGGGCTGGGGTCCGTGACTGCTGGTGCGCCACCCTCTGTGTGCTGATTTCCGGTGCCTCTGAGGGCGTGGGGTGGCTCCCAGAGGATGCAGGGCTGGCTTCTGAAAGAACATCTGGGCCTTTGTCCCTCTGGGGTTCCTTCCTAGGGGGATGGGAAATGAGGCAGGGGGTGCTCTTGCTATTCTAGGGGGGCCTGGAGGTTGGGGTGTGGGCCCAGCTCACCGCACATCGAAGCTAGATGGAACGGCCCTCGGTGCTTTGGCCAGTCAGTCAGGTAGTGTCCATTAGGCACCTACTGTGTGCCAGCATCCCACCCCCCAGTAGGGTCCACCTCGTGACCTTTCTCCTTCCGGTCATTCAGATCAATCACCATCAGGGATGACTTGATTCATGGAGCATCCAGGAGAAACACTGTTGTTGGGAGGGGGGCAGTTCCTAAGGCAAAGTGAAACAAACCCAACCTGATCAGCTACAAAGAGCAGCTGGTCTGAGGCTGGGGGCGCCTCCACCTGTGGGCCCCCGGGAGCGCCTCTGCCTCTGGGCCCTCACGAGCGCCTCTGCCTCTGGGCCCCCGGGAGCGCCTCTGTCTCTGGGCCCCCGGGAGCGCCTCTGCCTCTGGGCTCCCGGGAGCTCCTCTGCCTCTGGGCCCCCGAGAGCGCCTCTGCCTCTGGGCCTCTGAGTGGGGGAGCTGGGCCCCCGGGAGCGCCTCTGCCTCTGGGCCCCCATGAGCACCTCTGTCTCTGGGCCCCGAGGAACGCCTCTGTCTCTGGGCCCCCAGGAGCGCCTTTGCCTCTGGGCCCCCACGAGCACCTCTGCCTCTGGGCCGCTGAGAGGGGAAGCTGGGCCCCCACGAGCATCTCTGCCTCTGGGCCCCCGTGAGCGCCTCTGCCTCTGGGCCCCCATGAGCATCTCTGCCTCTGGGCCGCTGAGGAGGGGAGCTGGGCCCCAGGAACATTTCTGTCTCTGAGGTGCTGGAAGATGGGGCACCTCTTCCCTGGGCTCCTGCAGAGGCTATGCCACACAGAGGGAGGGGCTTTAGCACTAAGCTTTAGTGACTGATGGGGTCTGTGGGGTGAAAGGGAGGAGGTGAGGATCATCTGAGGTTTCAGATCTTTTCAGTGTCATTGGGAAGTCTAACCCGCCTTCTGTGGGAGGTCTTCCACAGCGCACACATACACGCGCGCATGCACACATGTACACATACACACATAACACACACACACGCACCCACACATGCACCACCCAACACCTTCCCTTAATCTGTGCTTTCCACACTACTCAGGCTACCTTCCCTCCACTCCAAACTGGAGAGGCCTGGGAAGAGGGCTTTGGGTGCTAAGGGGCCTCCAAGGCCTGGACTTGGCATGCCAGTCTGAGCAGGACAGCTTTCTGGGGATGGGGGAGACTGGGGAGTAGGTGGAGTTAGTCAAGAGGAGCCACAGTGATGGCCTGGGAGAGGCCTCAGGGGAAGAATTGGTCTCCCTGGGTCTGAAGGAGGAAGCCTGGGAAGCCATGGAGGAATAGAGGGATCTCAGGGGGAACGGAGGCTTTAGGAGATCTCAGCGGCGGTCTGAGGGCCCAGGGCAGTATTCTACCCTCCCTCCCCCTGGCTCCAGCCTCCTCACACTCTATGCTGCCTGCTCCCAAGCTCAGAAGTGCCATGGGTTTGCAGTGATTGTTCATGGGCCTGAGTCCCTGGCCAGGGGCTCCCTGTATAGTCACTGTGGCCCAGCCCTTCTTGCCTTGATGGCCTCATTCAGAGGGAGAGCAGCGAGGACCCCGTTGCTCATTGATGTACCCGCCTGTGGCGGTAGTCTTGGAGTCGCCCCACTGTGGTTGCTGTGCAACTGGCTGGGGCATCTTCCCTTCCCAGAGTTCAGTGCCCTTCTCACTAAGATGGGGCCGAGCAGACCCCTGGTGGCCCTCCTAAGGGCTGCCGTGAGAAGGCCACAGGATCCGGGTAAAGTTCTTCATAAAACTTCAAGAGTGGTTAGAAAAGCCTGGGACCTTTATCATCCTATTTTTACCCCTGAGAGTCAAAGCCTCCTGTTGGGGGTTTCAGCTTCTAGGGCCAATTACAGCCTTTGCCTGAGGGCTGGGGGCTTCTGTCCAGATTGGAGCAGCGAGCCAAGGTAGCAGAAGGGGGTGTGCCCCACGTGCCAGCAGCCCACAGAAGGCATTGTTGGAGGGCCCCACAGCTGTGCCCCTTGGGGATGTCCTGTTCAGGATCTTTCCTCCCCCTCCCCCATCCTTCTCTAAATTAGACTGACCCTCTGGAAGGGTTTCCATTTCCAGGCCCCCTTTTCTGTTCAGGTAGTTGGCTTGTTCTCCTGTGTGTCAGCGGGAAGGCACTGAGTCTTTGTTCCAGCTGGTGACTGCTGGAGAAGCAGAACTCTGCCCTTGGCTGAATAAGGCATCTGCCCACTGGGTGTCTGTGTGAAGGGAAGAGCCTTCGTGGGGAAAGAGGGAGAGCTTGCCCTGTTGATGTCGTGCTGGGGTTCTCGGGTCTCTCCTCCTCGTCTTGAAAACCATTTTGTGTTTGACTCCATAGTGATCACATCTGTTCTAAGTCCCCCAGGGAGTGTGCCAGGGCGGGAAGGCACGGGCCTCTCCCTGGTCGTGTGGGGCCAGTGAGGCTCCTTCCTTCAGCAAGGTGCAAGGAAACACTCTTCTAAGGAGCAACCTTTGCCCCCTCCAGATCATCCTCAGATCCTTCCTACAGCACAGGCTCTGAACAAAGCCAGGCCTAATGGGCCCGTCCAGCCATGTGAGACATGACCCATGACCACGGCTGTGGCAACCCCAGGATGCCTGGGTGGGGACCCCGAGACCTGGCTGCTTCAGAGGGTCAGGGCGTGAGCAGAGAGAGGCTCAGGTCTGTTGCTGTAAGTTTGGCCTGCAGAGGGTGGGCAGCCACAGCGAGCCCCAGGGGCTCCCAAGTGCTCTGTCTGCCCCGGGCAGGGTTTGTGTTTACTGAGAAAGAATGCCCGGCTTCCTGCAGGAGAAATCACTCCAGGGTGTCACCGTCAGACCTCCTGTGGGCAGGGATTTATCAGTCCAGTAACCTCTGGGAGATGGATCATCATGGCTTTCAAAGCAACGTGTCTCTGGAGTGGGGCCCTTCCTCTGCCAAGCGAGACCGTCTGTACCGATTTCGGGGTGTTTTTGGCCCCCCCTCCTCTCTGGGCTGGTCTGATGAGCCTCTGCCAAAGAGAGCTGTGTGGCTGAGGCAGCCCCTCCCCCAAGTAGGCCCTTGTCCCCTCCCGGGGCAGCTGACCCCAGTCCTGAGCACCCATGCCCCCAGATCCACGGCTTCAAGGCGAGTGTCAGCCCAGAGTCCGGCCTGGGGTCTTCCCAAGGCCTCTGCCTGCCATCACTGTGCCTGGTGCTCCTCGTGGCCTCCTTCCTGGCCTCTTGGATCCCAAGCTGGGAGTTCAGGCCACGCAGCACCTCCTCCGGGAGGCCCTTCCCTATTCCTCCCCCCATCTGTGGATCTTTTGCCTGGCTTGGGGCACACACGTGTTGTCTCTTCTGCAGACAGAGTGGGCTGCTCAGGGCGAGGACAAGGGTGGCTTCGTGCTGGGAGCGGTCTGCACACAGCAGGCGCCTCATGAATGCTGGTCCATCACTTGGCCGCTGTGGGAATGAGGGCCCCGTGTGAGTAACGAGGCATTTGTCTTGCTTTCAGGATCATTGACCAGAGGTTCGAGAAGGTGTCGTACTTTGTCTTCGGAGATTTCAACTTCCGGCTGGACTCCCGATCCGTGGTGGAGGTGGGCACATCCTCGTCCTTGTTGGGAGGGTCCTGGGCTGTGCAGACACGCTCTGCAGGAGCGCCATGTGGGCATCCCCGGGGTGGAGGGTGTGTGCTCCTCTGAGCTGGGCCAGGGAGGCCTCCCCACACTCCAGTGTTGGGTCGGGGTCCTGCCGGGCATCTGGGGCTGCGGGCAGCGGTGTGGGCAGGAGGCTTTCCTGGTCGGGGCTTCTTCGTGGTCTTCCCATGGACACAGCCTGCTGGGGGGAGGGGGCATCTGGCTGGGAGTTCCTGAGGCCTGGAGAAAGTTCTGCAGGGACAGAGTCTTTCGTTTAGAACTGGAAAGAACCCATTTATTATAGGCTGCCGTACCCACAGCATCCTCATGTGTGCACACGTGCATGTACGCACGTGTGGGGTGTGTGTGTGTGTGTGTGTGTGTGTGTGGTGTTGTGTACCCATGTTGTGTGTGCACATTTGTGTGAATGTACATGCAGGTGTGTTGTGCGCACGCACACTGTGTGCCTGTGTGTACGTGTGTGTGCCTGTGTGTGTATGTCTGTGCATGTGTGCCTGTGTCTGTGTATGTGTGTATGTGCACATGCGTGTGTGTATGTGTGTGCCTGTGTGTGAGACAGAAAGAGCCCACCGAGGCTCCGGGGCCCTTGGCGGGGAAAGGAGGTCTAACGTGCTGCCCAGAGGCGTCCATCCTCTGGGTTGCTGAGATGGTGCAACGCTATGTCGGCCTCCCCACCGAGATTGGGGCCTCCATCCCTTCTTCTTCTCTGGTCTGTAGAGGCTTCTCCTGGTCTGGACACTGGCTTGGAAGGGGGCTTTTCCCTGCCCGCCTCCCTTGGTTCTGGGGACACGTGCAGAGGAGGCAGGGCCACGGCTGCGTGATGTCAGGAGAGCCAAATGGGCTGGACGGCGAGCCCGCCTCAGAGATGGTCCCGGGTTCAAGTCCTCGCCCTGACCCTCACTGGCTGAGTGGGGTGTGGTGGGGTGCAGTGGCTCCTCACCTCTCTGTGCCCTCGGGAGCTCTAGACTGGGAGTTTCAGAGACACTCCCTACGCTGATGAATTCAAAGGTGAGGTTGGAAGACCGGTAATTATGTCCCATCGGGGGCCCCAAGTTTAATCTCCTTTCCCTTCATCTCCCCCCTCTCTCCTCTCCTCGCCTGCCCCTCAGAGCAGGGCATCCCTCCCAACCTCCTGGGCTTCGATCCCTTGACAGTGGGCGCTCGCTCCCCAGAGGTCTGATCGCCCTCGCCTGGAGCTGGCTGCCGCCTCCATGGCCATGGAGTTTGGTCCACACGCCCAATGAGAACCTGTCGGCCCCCCAAGTCCTTGGGCCTTCCGTGGCTGCTGACACGACGTCAGCCACCTGCCAGGACATCCCCGCTGGACAGAAAGGAGACTTTGCCCTTTCACAGAGAAAAGTGAAGAGGAAGTCACAGAGGTGGAGTTTTTTTTTCATCCAGCTGTGGCCTGCAAGTCCTGCATGTGCCCAGGCCACGGCCATGGCCATGGCCACAGTGGTCTGTTTGATGCTGAGACCAAACGTTCCGTAGAACCTGCTCGTTCCAGGAGGAGCTCGGGCTCGGTGTGACGTTTGTCTTCCCAAACGCGCCTGCTCCGGGAAGACCCGGCCAACGCTGTGCCATTTCATGTTTATGTGGTGAAAGTGGTGCGTGCCCCCATCGGCGAGGCTTGACCCCTGTGAAAGATAATATAAAGAATAATGGGGAACCAGCGAAAATAACGAGCCCGTAAATCCTCGTGGGCCTCGCGGTGACATCATCAACTCTCCAAGCAGGGCCGGAGCAGGCGGAGAATTACAGCCATGGCTCTCCGTGTCCCTTTATTGATTAACTCAGAGGAAGAGTTATGGCGGGCTTCCCTATTAAATACGGCATCTCGGAAACATGTAATTTGAGGGCAGAATCTGGATGAGTTTTCAGAGACTGTCTCCAGAGGGCTGAGGACGCCGGAATCCTCCGGTTACGGGCCACAGGTCACGGGCCATGGCATCCAGAGACAGGAAGGGGCTTCCTTAGCCTCCCCGAGCACCACGAGGGCTCACGTTGCCTCGTTTGGCCCAGTCTCGCGCCCTGCCTTGTTGTCCTGATCCGCCCTGGCCCCCTCCCCATCCCCATCTCTTAGCATTATACATGCGCTCCTGGCCCAGAGTGCTAGAGTCTGCGTCTCCCTTCTGGCTGGTCAGGGAAACTCAGAGGGCTCCTGGGGATGGCTGAAAGGGGCTCTGAGGCTGACATTTCTCTTTCTGTCTGGTTCCGGAGCTGATGCTTAAGAACCCCAGGAGGGAGGGAAAGGCCAGGCAGCTCCTTCCGGGTCCTTTCTCCCCATCTAGCCTACGCCTTCAGCTCAGGGCAGGAGATGGAGACGGGGGAGACAGAGATGTGGGGGGAGGGGCCAAGTGCCAGCCCCTCCCCCCACTCTGGCACTGCCAGCTTTCATTTCAGCCTTTGCTTGTCTAAACTCTCTTCTCAGGAAAATAGGCAGAAAACTGAGGAGCTGAGAATTATGGATTTAGGGGAAGGATCTCCATGGGTGCTTCTCTAGGTGTAGCAGGAAGGAGAAGACAGACCTGATTAGGGGAAGGTCATCCCATGCCGAGCCAGGCTTGGTAAACTGTCTGTGGTACCTGTGAGCTGAGGGCGGAGCCTCCTCCTCCCAGGGGCACCCAAGTGCCCTGTGTGGGCGTGACGCCACACCCAGACTTTTGAGGAGCCCACTCTATGTGGCTTCACCAGGAGATCCAGAGCACTCCAGGTCCCAGTGGGGTTGGGGCAGAACAGGCATCTCATGTTCTCGGGCCTCTCTGTGTGGCCGCGTCTCTTCTCCCCAGCTCCTCCCTGCGACCTCTCAGCCAGGCCCATCAGCTGCATGAGAGGCCAGGGTCCCATGGTGACTTCCTACCATCATCCCAGGGTCATTACCTGAGGGTTTGAAGATGGCTGACTCCAACCTGTCCTTCCTACAGATGAGGGCCCACGGGGAGGTCTTCCCTGAACCACCCCTGGGTTGGCCCTGGCTGTAGCTCTGCCTCTGCCCTGTTTCTTCCTTTGTTATCGTCTAGTCCAGCCAAAGACTCTAAGCTTGGAATCCGGGACAAAGTGTCATTCCATTTGTCTGATTTGCCTTTTCTGTTCTCTTCTTCACTTAACAAAATCACTGAGCTTGCCTGGAGAGCCTTCGCGAGACAGGAACCAAGCACATCCAGGCTGAGATGCGCCCTCCGTGACACAGGCCCTCTGTGAACACGCACCCTCTGTGAGCACACGCCTTCTGTGAGCACACACCTTCCATGAGCACAGGCCTTCTATGAGCACAGGCCCTCCATGATGCAGGCCTTCCATGACACAGGCCTTCTACAAGCACGCACCCTCTGTGAGCACGGGGCCCACCCAGCACAGAAATTGTGAGAGGCGAGAGAAGCTGGTGCATTTCCTAAAAGGAAGCAAGCAGCTTTGTTGATGGAGCCATGATGTGTCCGTGCCTTTGCAAAAACGGCCTCTGGCTCCCATGGAGCCTCATGACATTGGGAAGTCAGATGGCAGAGCTCCAGCCTTAATTGACAATAAAAACCATAATCAGCATCATGCATTTATGGAGTCCCTTCCTCTGTGCAGGTCAATTAATAGAAGATAAATCATTAGCATTCCATATATTAAACATTTTTATGTGAGCCTTAATCTAAAGCCATATTGATTGCTCCAAGAGGAAATTCTCCTTTCATGATGTTGGAGAAATCTGGACGGGATCAATAAAGCAGCACTGGGCTCCGGTGAGGCAGAGCCTCGCACGCATGCCCAGGGATGGACAGAGGAGAACACACACCCGATGCAGCTTGGGACCCGGAGCGCACAGGACGGGCAGGGAAGGAGAGGAGGAGGAGGAGGAGGAGGAGGGAGGGGGCGGACACCACGAGGTACCACCAGTGGACATTTCCTAACTTTAAAGGACAAGAAGCAGGCGGGGAATCGATGAAGCCCGGCAGCAGAAGAGAGTTTCCACTTTCAAAGAAGCCAGAGCTCTCTGGGCAAACACCTGGGCCCTCGGGGTACAAACCTGGCCTGCAGGGCCCAGCGCAGACAGGCCCTAGGCAGAGTCCAGGCTTTGGTGGCCTGAGAAGGTTGGTTCAGATGCGGCGTTGGTCTCTGGTCTCTGCTGCCGACGTGGTCCTCCCTTCCTGGCTGGCCTCCCTGAAGGCCCAGCTATCAGCTGTGACTCCAGCTGGAGGGGATGGTGGCCGACCCTGGCTCAGATGAATCACACGGAGGGGATGAGCTGATCGCCAGGATCCCCTGGCATAGTGGGGCTTTCATCTTGGGTCTCCTCACAGCAGGGCACCACACCGTGCCACGCCATAGCATGCCACGCCAGTATGACCTCATGTGGGAGAGCTCTCGCTGCCACTGTGCATCCTCTGAAGGCGCCTGCTGGAAGCCAGCCATGGCCACCCTGTCCCTGTTTTCTGTTCTCATGCCCCCACCCCCGAGAGTGGTGCTGAAGCTTTCCCAAGAGGGGAAGAAAAATCAATCGTCCATAATTATATTGTTTGCTCAAGAAACATATAAATGTGTCGGTGAGGTGCACCCTGGTTGGGGGTCGTTTGTTATCTGTCTCCCCTGCGCTGCTGCTGTCACAAGGAGTGCGGACCGTTTAATTGTATATTATTTGCACACAGTTTGCCCTTGAAGGAAGCAAATAGGCTTTGGAAAGAAAGTGAAATCTGCTTTTGGACAGTTTGTCTTGGGAATTAGAAACTTAGTGCCTGAACTGACGCTAAAGATTACGTCTCCATCTCTGCATGGAGACACGTGGGGCACTGTGTGCCAGGCCTGGGCTTAAGCACTTCACCAGCTGGATCTCCTCTGGTCCTCACATCAACCCTGGGAGGTCAGTACTGTTATGATGGCCATTTTACAGTTAAAGAAACTGAGGCAGGCAAGGTGAAGTGACTTGCCCAGGGTCATACAGCTAGGGTGGGAGGGGT